CTCTTCGTGATAGGTACCTTTGAATAATTGCTGATAGAGTGGACACGTGATCAATAGTGCTGTAACCCTCCCTGAAACCCGCCTGTACCTCGGGAATTTTGTTATATTCATTTGCCCAAGCTTTTAGACGTTGATTTAGAATACCAGTGAATATTTTACTAAATACACTTAGGAGGCTGATTGCTCTGTAATTGTTTGGGTCACGAGTGTTAGAATCATGTAGAAACTGGCAGTACATTAAATAAGACTTGGAAGGTCTTTTTTTGCACTGAGGTTCAACCCTGCCCATGGAGGACAAACGAACCACCAGCAATCAAAATTAGTGCACAGGCGATAGGAACAATTTGCACTCAGGAACCAAACTTCAGCTGTTGCCTTTGCCTTTCTTTAATTTGAACATTTTATAAAACTTTGTGTGTATATGATTATAAAGTTCTTTACCCATACCACAGTCCCTCTATCACGAACTGTGCCCATACCATTAGTTGTAGTACAGAAGGCGCATGAAAAACCAGAATCAAACAATAGACAAGCCAAGGTGAAAATAATTAATATAGAGATTTTTTTTCATGCAAGAATAGCCAGTTATTGTCATCCATTGTCTAATGTAGTATGTTTACACTATTCAATTGTGCTGTGTTGTGTTGCATTGATTAGTGACCATTTTGTTTTCTAGCTCAATTACATTTATTGAGTAATTGTATGTGAAATATAATTACAATTTATGGGTTATCAATTATAAGAACAATTTGCCATTTCAACTGAAATGAGTCGGCCATTTTGAATAGGAACATTAACAGACAAACAAATTACTGGACAGTCGCAATGTATCATGTTTTGTTTGGCCTGTATTATTGAAAGTTTCACCAATGATGTTAGTTCAATGTGGCTTTATCTTGACCATGTATCAAACACTAAAGGAGAATAATTTATATTCAAGTGTGTAATCAATTCAAAGTGTGTTATTAACTTTCATTCAGACAACATTCCACAGTATTCAAGAGTGTGGAGACTCCATTGACAGTGCCACCGCCCAAATGGCTAATGTTCAACTTGATGAACAATCTAGTAGTGAAGATTTCACCCCAAAATGTATGTACATCTATATCCTTTGTCTTTTACTAATATTAGGATTCCACTGCGTTTTGTGGGGCTCCTAGCCCAGGTATAAACATTTGGTCAGTACTGTTATTTCAATTTTACGACATACCGGTAATTGATAAAGCCTTAGGAAGGAAACATTCATGGTACAAGTATTTGTTTAGTCATAATTTTGGGCATGATTGTTTCAGTTTCGCAATAGGCATATTTCAGCTAAAGCATTATCATTATTAGAGTTGTTTTCAATTATTATTTTGAATTTATAACATGTTTAAAACATCTAGAGCTATCTGAAAATGAAATGTACCTCATGTTCAACAAATAAAGTGTTTTGATTTGAT